GTTTTATATGTTACCCAAACAAAAAAAAGCATTTTCTGGCATTAGAGAACATTCTTTGTGCTCATTAAAACTGACTTGTACTAAAATCAGAAGGAAATAAATTGTATAGACTTAATTTACACTTAATTTAATTTATGACATCACTTGTATTGAGTTTTATACTTAAGTACATTAATGCWTCAAACTGCAACATGACCAGTCTAAATAAACAAATACTTGTTCATTTTAATTTGAAATATTGTCTAGTTAACATTTTACTTTTACAACCTTATCCCACCACTTCACCCCAATTGTTCAGTCATTATATTAAAAAGTGAGGAGGGCTGGTCATCAGTACACTCCAATTCTCATTCCTACACTGATGTCGCCAACTAAGAACCTGGCAAAATGCCGCTGAACTGGTGCCAGAGGTTCTGTAGTGTTAGCAGCCTGGCAGCGTGAGCACCTCCCCCGCTTTTCTCTCCTGAACTGAAAGCCAACAGAATCCAACTACCAATTAGAAACAGAGCAGAGGGCCAGATTAAAGAGCACCACCTTAAGCRGTGAAGAGGGCCGCCATAGTGTGCCGCCACTTCACAGAAAAAAAAGAAGCGATCAGAAAGGAGCGGAGAACAAGATTGAAAGAGGCAATGAGAGAGCGGAAGGAGCAGCTCGAGGGTCCCACTTTCATTCCCCTCACTCTCCCACATCCATTACCTGTGTCTGAGCCCAGCCGTGCCCCGCCGCAGCCCTGGCAGCAGATTCAAGGAGTCTTAACGCGGAACTGACAGCCAGAGAGGCAAGTCACTCTCATTCCGCAGGAAATGACAGTGTCAGTTATGATATAAGTATTTAATCCTATACTGCACAGCCAGTGATCTTATTAAGGGAATAATGCATCTTATACGGTTAAAGCTGGATTAATAGGTCTGCGCTTTGCAAAGCGCAATATTAACATAAAGGGATTTTGGAACTGGGTTCATCTCCTGACATGGATTGAGGAAGTTGAGGCTGTAAACTGTGCAGAGAGTAAGAACTGCTCGGGGTGAAGCATGGAGCTGTGTGTAGCACAGGCTCCTGCTGTGTACTCACAGCTTTCACAAAATTCTCACATTGCAGCTCGCAAAGCAAACTGGCTACATATTTATGAGCTGTTTTACTTTTAAACATATRTTAAATGTTTTATAAATAGGTTCATCACTGTGCCTTCAGAGRGAGTGCTGCTGCTGAAAAGAAGTACAACTTTGAAAACTAAAACTTCACATTTTGATTTGCTCATGCAACTTTCTGGGTCTTCCCATTGTTTTGTTTCTATAGTGACCCACAGTGCTACTCAGACATGTCTCTCCTCCAAGTGAGGTCAAGCAGCAAATAGGYCAATCACAGCACCATCGCGGTCCCACCATCCCCCCACCTCCAGTCACCCTGGCAAGCCCAGAGGTGGGGGGGGGTTCATTATTCTACCATATACCACCTTCCGGGGCTTCATTACTGCAGTTCATGGGCCCTTAAATGGTTAAACAAACACTCTGCACCACAAGGGTCAATTGACTCTTTGACTCTTTGATGGAGCAGAGCTATTCTGAAGCAAGGTTACCTCGTCTGCGCCACTCGTGGACACTTCCTCGTATCAGTATAACGTGTTGAGCATCTGTCAAAATGCRAGCTAATGAAGACAGAGGAGAGGTAAACACATGCAACTTTGAAAACTTCAAACCTTCAAGACTTTTCTAACTCCTGACCATCTGCCCAACAGATCCTTTCCCTTTTTCCCTTTCTTCATTTTTGATTCCTCTTTTATTTCCCCATTCTTTTCCCATGGTTGCCGCATCCAGTCCTCGACCAGAATGCAGGTCTATTCAGCCCACAACACAAAAAAGCAGCAGACCGGTCCTCTGTGGACCAGAGGAAAGCATGCCTTTAAAAAATAACAGGAAAAAAAAGAGAAGAACTATCCCGCTTTCTCTCTATGGTGATTGAATTTCTTAACATCTTTTCAAAAAGCGCTTAAATGCCTGGAGGCGAGAGGAAGAAACAAGCTAATGGTGGATGGGGAGCACTGAACAAATTTCAGAGCCCTTTCCTGCTCGCGTTTGAGGTTGAAAGCGAGCTCTTGCCTTTCAAGTTTCAAAGTCCTCCTTCCTCCCGCAGTGTCACTGAAGGATTTGAAAAGAAGGTAATTGTGCTCACTGCCGTCCTGATCAGAGCACACGCCCCAGCTCTAGTATTTCAGGAGCTTTCTCTGCCACTATAATGGTACCTGGTACTTCATTCCTGCATTCTTTCTCCCTTACAACTCTTTCTCCTTTTCCCTTTAACCCTCTACAAATGCGCTCTCCATTGCTCTCACGCTTTTGCTTTTTATTTCTCTTTTACCCCCAGCAGGCCGCTCATTAAACCCTAAAACCCAGGTTTCTGTCTTTTTTTTCCCCCTCTTGTCTTCAGTCTCCATTGAAAGATTCTGGTTCAAATACCTTTCGAGAAAACCCTATGCAATGGCCTTAACAAAGAGAGCGTGGATGCAATGACAATATGCAGTTTTGAAAGAGATAATGAGATATGGAGTGGGGCCAATGCCTCTAAGAGTTRGGCTAGGGGATAAGAGGGGCTAAAGTTAAGGGTGTCCAGACAATTTACAGAAATCAAAAGTGAAACAAACCCTCAACARTGTTGTTTTGAAGGATTTTTCTAGAGGCACAGGTTAAGAACAAGGCTTGCTGTTCTTCCACATGAAAAACGGTCCTTAACTCTCAAGTATCTGATTCACCTTCCAGCCTGGAATGTGCCCTTTTTTTAGGGGTTCACAAAGGGCCACTGCATGCTATAGTTTTCCCTAACAGTCTTAAAAGTCAGAGGAGGTGTTGTATAGTCTTATCCAAAGCCAGACATGTGCTGTATTCCACCTTCTAACTTCTGAAAGCATTGTGGCACAAACAGGTTTTGGCTGGGGAGCACATGGAGAGGAGTGGAGTGGGGGGGATATACGGTGAAATCACAAAACATTTCTTCAAAGCTCCTCTCCTCCCGTGCAATAATCTCTTGCACCCTTTTTCTTTTCCTTTCTCTTGCAAATCAACTCCAGGGAAAGACTCAAGACTCCCCAATTAACAATGAGATGGGGGGAAGAAAAATTCCAGCAGCTGGCTAGAGTTTAATAAGAGCACTTCTCCAAGCAGCTTAGGCTTATGCACCTGATTCACTGGCTCTGGCAAAGACGCTAAAGACAGAGGGAATCATTCACGATTAGCACAGGCTGATATAAAAGGGACCAAACCAACAACAAGAGCGCAGGGGATTAAGGCAATTGTGTGAGGCATTTTTCTGATCAACTCCTTGGCTTATCGGTGCTACAAAAACTTGCTACCTCCTTGTTACAAGAGTCCTAATGGAGCTTCTTGTATTAAAAATAGAAAGGGTAACTTTTTTGTGACCTCTTGAAAACTAAACCTAAATGTGAAAGCAGAATAGCTTGCAATTTTCTGTCATCACTTGAAAGTCCTAGCAAACATAAAGTTATGCTTCTCTATCTTTGCATTGATTTTTGAGTTTCTCTCTGCAGAATGAACCCATAGTGGTATTTTTTGAAGCCTCGTTATGTGACTGATGTTTGGCCAAATTGAAAAGGGAGGCCCAAACGGTCCTTCTCCTGTTTAGCAGTCTATCGTCAGCTGCTGATTTCCTGCACAGCTTTCAMAAACACCCTCTTCAATATTCATCTAGGCAAATTTGACTACTCCCACATCTCAATTTGGCTCTTGGTACCCTGCTCCTCAACCCCCTACTCCACAACCCACAGTCCCAGCCTATTCTGTCCTGGTCTTCAGGGACGAACCCAGACTCAGCATCTCGCAGTCCCAGACTCCAGGCCCTGAGGCGTGGGAGGGGCAGAAATCAAAGCCTGCTTGACTCCTTCCTTCTTCCATGCGCTCACCTCAAATCAGCATCACAGCAGGGTTGTGTC